ATTCTATTCTATTCTATTCTATTCTATTCTATTCTATTCTATTCTATTCTATGCTATGCTATGCTATGCTATGCTATGCTATGCTATGCTTTGCTATGCTATGCTATGCTATGCTATGCTATCCTATCCTATTCTATTCTATCCTACTCCAGACCCCTGCTCAAGCAGGAGATCCTATACTATTTCAGACAAGGGACTGTTCAGTCTTGTTCAGGGCTCTCCAAACTTGGCAACTTTGAGACTTGTGGACGTCAGTTGTCAGAATTCCCCAGCCAGCATGGCTGGCTGAGGAATTCTGGGAGTTGAAGTCCACAAGTCTTAAAGTTGCCAGGTTTGGAGACCTCTGCTCTTGTTAAAAACCTCCAGTGATGAAGCACCCACAACTTCTGAAGGCAAGCTGATCCATTGGTGAAATGTTTTCCACTTTAGGAAGTTTGTCCTTAATTCCAGGTTGCTTCTCTCCTTGACTAGTTTCCATCCATGGTTTCTTGTCTTGCCCTCTGCTTCTGATAGGATGAAGGGGTGGTGGAAGGAATAGTATTGCAAAGAAAAGACAATCTTTCCATTTCCCTCCACTCCACAATCCTATCAGAATTATCCTTCTGTCCCTCTGCGATCCAGTCTCAAGGGTTGGTACCTATCCTTCCATCCCCCTTCCCTCAGAACTGATGAAGCTTCTTGGATGACGTCTTCTTCTTTTTCCACAAGGGGAAAAAAAACCCCAACCCAGCTGACTTTTCAAGAAAAAAAAAAAGCACCTTTGAGACATCTACGACCTGGATGACTGAGAATCTCCACGGCCACCAAGCAGGGACTTTTGTTCTACCAAACCAATTTCCCCCTTTTGGTTCATGTCCCGATTTGGTCACTCACGGGGGGAATAAAGAGCAGTCCGTTTGCCGGTTTGAGCTTCCCGCATTTGAAGCCCCACTCTGCGGACCTTCCAGAGCAAACAGCCATCATAGCTGGTATGTTCCAGGGCCTGGATCCGGGACACCAAGCCGCTGATCATCACATCTTTCAGAGCCAAGAGTGAATCTTGCTGTTCTATCTGGAAGGAATACATGGAATACATGAAAGAGAAATACTGATACCTTCAATTAAATTCAGTAAACTGACATTGAATTACTTCACAGAGACAAGTGAACTATAATAGCTATGGGAGAGAAAACCTATAAAGCATAATACCAATAGCAGATACAGATTAACAGAGTTAAAAGGGATCTTGTAGATCATCTAGTCCAACCCCCCACCCCACCCAAGCAGGAGACCTACACCATTTCTGACAAATGGCAGTCCAGTCTCTTCTTGAAAGCTTCCAGTGATGAAGCTCCCACAACTTCCGAAGGCAACTTCTGTTCCATTGGTTGATTGTTCTCACTGTCAGAAAGTTTCTCCTTATTTCCAGGTTAAATCTCTCCTTGTTCAGTTTCCATCCACTGTTCCTTGTCTGGCCTGCAGGTGCTTTGGAAAATAGCTTGACCCCTTCCTGTCTGTGTGGCAACCCCTCAAATATTGGAAGACTGCTACCCTGTATCCCCTGGTCCTTCTCTTCACTAGACTAGCCATGCCCATTTCCTGTAACCGTTCTTCATGTGTTTTAGTCTCCATTTAGTCACAATGCCACTTAGAATTATATACTGCTTCACAGTGCTTTACAGCCCTCTCTCTGAGCAGTTTACAGAGTCAGCCTATGGCCCCCAACAATCTAGGCAACTTTGCTGACCTCAGAAGGGTGGAAGGCTTGAATCAACCTTGAGCCAGTCAGAACGCCTGGCTGTGAGTAGTGAGTTAGCTTGCAATACTGGATTCTAACCACTGAGCCACCAATGGTTCAAACTTGAAAGGGGCCACAGTTGCCCACTCCTGCCTTAGCACAAAGAAAGAATGAAACCAGCTTCAATGTTAACCAAGTTATCCTGCTTGTTAGAAGCTGGCTGGGAAGGTCACAAGCGGCAATCCCACGACTTTGATCTAGAGATGCTGCAAATATCATAAATACAGGCTCCTTGCAAAATGTCCATATTGTCATCGTGACTACAGCGATGCTGAAATAGTGATGATCAGTTATAACCAACTTTTCCAGTGGCATTTTAACTTCAAACGGTCACTAAGTAAATTGAGTTGTAAGTTGCGGTCAATCTATAACAGGGGTGAGGAAGGATGGGCCCTTTTATAAGTTGTGGACTTCAACTCCCAGAATTCCTGAGATAGGCACGGCTGGCTCAGGAATTCTGGGAGTTGAAGTCCACAAGTTATAAAGGGCCCATCCTTCCCCACTTCCGATCTACAGTATAAGTTCTCATTGGAGACCTTTGATTTCAAAGGCATCAATCATTCCAAAAGGCGCCTCTTACTCTCTCCTCCAGGTAGAGGATCCTGGCCAGAGCTTCTCCAACCCTGACGTCAGGGGCCTCTTCTTTTCTGCCCAGCTCCCGGCTCAGAACCGAGACAATGTTCTCCAAGGTCTTCTGGCGGGTTTCCAGCTCAGCCACCTGCTGCCTGATTTTCAGGCCAGGCCTCAGCTGCTCCAGGAGATGGTCCAGGGGGAAGTCCAGGCCCACAAACTGGTGCAGGGTGTTAGGAAGCAGAGGATGCTGGGATGGCACGATTCCTTCCACTTGTCCACCGGGCATCTGTTAAAAATGGAAGTCAACCAACAGGCATGAATCATCTAGACAGGGGTGGGCTTCAAAATTTTTTAGCAACGGGTTCTCTGCCCGGGTGCTGGGTGGACGTGGCCATGGTGGGCGTGGCCTAGTTGTCCCCTTGCACCACGGCTTGGGGAGGGGCGTTTTTGAGCCCCCAGGAAGGCAAAAACAGCCCCCCCGGGCTCCGGAGGCTCTCTGGAACTCAGAAACGGGCCCATTTCCGGCCTTCCTGAACTTACGGGAGGCCTATTTTTCACCTCCCCTGAGCCTCTGAGCACACCCTGCACTTACCTGCATCCAAAATGGACCAGGTGGGGACTCCTGGGAGAGTCGGGCAGGGTGGGTGGGGCCAGCCAGGAGCGGGATTTGGGATGCAGAATTTTAGCTAAAGGGGCTCCCGAACCCCCAGCAGCCCACCCCTGCATCTAGAGTTGGCCCAGCCCTTGGGTACCAGCCTGTTCATGCCCCCTTAATAAGTTAGTACAGGTAACCCTTGACTTATGACCGCAATTGAGCCCAAAACCTCTGCTGCTAAGTGAGATACAGGTGGCCTTCAACTTACAACCACAACTGAGCCCAACATTTATGTTGCAACTAAGTGAGAAATTTGTTAAGTGAGTTTTGCCCCATTTTGTGACTTTTCTCAACATGTTTGTTAAGTGAATCTCACTTTGCCAACTAAATCTAATCTAGAATTCAGTCTTACTTGGAAACCATTTCTGGACTATAGTTTTATACATGGAATTGCAAATTTTGTCTCTTGGGTTTATATTTTAATTTAACATAGAATCTACATAATGTTTACAATATTCTTTCAGCATACTGTTATTTATAGCTTTGCTTCTATTCTATTTTCTATTTTCTACTCTACTCTGTTCTATTCTACTCTATTTTATTGCTTATTTTCTCTTCCTTGCTGTGTTTTTGGTAGTCTTTTAAATACACACAGACACAGACACAGAAACGCATACATATACATACATGCATCCATACACTCATACAGGTAGTACTTGACTTACAACCACAGTTGAGCCCAAAATCTATGTTGCCAAGTGAGAAATTTGTTAAGCGAGTTTTGTCCCATTTTACAACTTTTCTTGCAACAGTTGTTAAGCGAAGCTCTGCAGTTGTTAAATTAGTAACACCGTTGTTAAGTGAATCTGGCTTCCCCCTAGAATTTGCATGTCACAAGGCTGCAAAAAAAGGGATCACATGACCCCAGGACACTGCAACCGTCATAAGTATGAACCAGTTGTCAAGCATCCGAATGTAAATCACATGACCACTTGACACTTAGCAAATAGCACTTAGACTTGTATACCTCTTCACAGTGCTTTATAGCCCTCTCTAAGTGGTTTACAGAGTCAGCATATTTGCCCCCAAACAATCTAGGTCCTCATTTTACCCATCTTGGAAAGATGGAAGTCTGTGTCAACCTTGATGGTTGACCATGGTCATAAGTAACATTTTTCAGTGCTGTTGTAACTTTGAACAGTCACTAAATGAATTGTTGTAAGTCAAGGACTTACACATACACACACACACACACTCTGACACACACATATACTCACATGCACCACAATAATTATAAACCATGAAAACGTACAACCCACCTTGTCAAAATGGATGAGTGGCTCAATTTCCTCCTCTTTCAGATATTCAAAAGAGGTGTTTCTGCTACAGCTGGGAAGCAAAACAAATTGTGTCAGATAACCTACCAAGATCCAAACATCCAAGTCATGGTATTCTCTGGGACACTCCCTAAAAGTGAAAGAAGCAGGATGGGAAGAATATGGACTGCTCTGAACTTTGGTACAGGTAGTCCTTAACTTACGACCACAATTGATGGTGGCGCAGTGGTTAGAATGCAGTACTGCAGGCTACTTCTGCTGACTGCCAACTGCCTGCATTTTGGCAGTTCAAATCTCACCAGGCTCAAGGTTGACTCAGCCTTCCATCCCTTCTGAGGTGGGTAAAATGAGGACCCAGACTGTTGGGGGCAATAGGCTGAATCTGTAAACCGCTTAGAGAGGGCTGTAAAGCACTGTAAAGCGATATATAAGTCTAAGCGCTATTGCTAATTGAGCTCCAAATTTATATTGCTATGTGAGAAATTTGGTAAGTGAATTTTGCCTCGTTTTACGAGCTTTCTCAGCCCATTTGTTAACCGAATCACTGCAGTTCTTAAATTAGTAACCCAGTTGCTAAGTGAATCTGGTTTTCCCATTGACTTTGCTTGGGCAGAAGGTCGCAAAAAGAGATCACGTGACTCCACGACACTGCAACCATCATAAATGGGAGTCAGTTGTCAATCATCCAAATGTAAATCAGGTGACCCTGGGGATGCCATGACAGTCATTAGTGTGAAAAAAAAGTCATAAGTCGCTTTTTTCAGTGCCGTTGTAGCTTCTAATGGTCAGTAAGTGAACTGTTGTAAATTGAGGACTACCTGCACTGGAGAAGACGGCTAAATAAATAAATAAATAAATAAATAAATAAATACACATACACACACATACATACATACCTTGGACAGGATAGATGATAGATAGGTAGATAGATAGGTAGGTAGGTAGGTAGATAGATAGGTAGGTAGATAGGTAGGTAGATAGATAGGTAGGTAGGTAGGTAGGTAGGTAGGCAGTGTTCTAGGACCAACTCTCTTCATACTCTACATAAACGACCTCTGTGATCATATTAAGAGCAATTGCGTTCTCTTCGCTGATGATGTAAAGCTGTTCAATACCACAGACAATACTGCTACCCTACAAAAAGATCTTGACTATGTATCAGAATGGTCAAACAAATGGCAACTTCAAATCTCAACAAATAAATGCTCTGTCTTACATATTGGCAAAAAAAATCAGAAAATAAAATACAAGCTGAATAGTCAAGATCTTGTTGATGACTCAAGCTCTGTAAAGGACCTTGGAATACTCACCTCTAATGATCTAAGTGCTAGAGCCCACTGCAACTACATAGCCAAAAAGGCATTAAGAGTTGTTAACCTAATCCTACGTAGCTTTTTCTCTGGTAATATCACACTACTAACTAGAGCATACAAAACATTTGCTAGACCAATACTCGAATACAGTTCATCAGTCTGGAACCCACATTACGTATCTGATATTAGCACAATTGAGAAAGTCCAGAAATATTTCACAAGAAGAGTTCTCCACTCCTCTACTCGTTGTAGAATACCTTATGCCACCAGACTTGAAATTCTAGAACTTGAAAACCTTGAATTACGCCGTCTTCGGTCTGACTTAAGCATGGTATATAAAATCATACATTGCAATGTCCTACCTGTCAATGAATACTTCAGCTTCAACCATAACAACACAAGAGCACACAATAGATACAAACTCAAAGTAAACCGCACCAAACTTGATTGCAGGAAATACGACTTCAGCAATAGAGTGGTCAATGTCTGGAATACTCTACCCGACTCTGTAGTTTCTTCCCCAAACCCCAAAAACTTTAACCTTAGACTGTCTACTATTGACCTCACCCCTTTCCTAAGAGGCCTGTAGGGGGCGTGCATAAGCGCACCAACGTGCCTACCGTCCCTGTCCTATTGTTTCTCTTATTCTTCTTTTATTTTTCTTATATGTACCCATTTCATGTATTCACAACTATGTATACGCTTATACTTATGATCTTGTAAACAATTGGCAAATCAAATAAATAAATAAATAAAATAAATAAATAGATAGATAGATAGATAGATAGATAGATAGATAGATAGATGATAAATACACACACACCTTGGACAACATAAACAAACAAACAAATAAATAAATAAATAACTATGGACAGCCTAAATGAACAAAGAAACCAGTGGATCATTAAACAAATCAACTCAGAGTTTTCTCTTAAAGCAAAAATGACCAGGCTCAAATGATTCTATTTTGGACTCATGATACAAAGACCCAATTTTTTTGGAGAAGTCTCTGTTGCTGCAAACAATGGAAGGAAAGTGAAGAAAAGGATAACCAACCATAAGGGGGAAGGAGTGAGTTACAGTGCCAATGGGGGCAATCACTGAAAGACCAGATTAAGGACAGAATCCATGTATGTGGTAGACATTGCTTTCATCCATTTTTTCTATATCACATTTTTTCCCCCAAGTTTCAATGCTGGATTTCTCCATAAAGCCAATTTAGCATAGGAAAATGGATTGCATCGGTTTTTATTAGACGTTCCATTCCATAGTTTTGTAACTGATATAATTGTTTCCAGAGATACTACAGTTCTATTGTATTTAGGTCTTAATACTGTCCATTTAGCCAAAGGTGCTATTTATGGATATACTAAAGTTGCCTAAATCGGAAAATTAATATCAAATGTGGAATAACAATATTTAATAATAGACAACAGCTAAGTTTGAGGATGTAGAGATGCGGTGCCTCAGTGGCTAAGACGCTGAGCTTTGTCAATCAGAAAGGTCGGCTGTTTGGCAGTTTGGCAGTTCGAATCCCTAGCACCTCATAATGGAGGGAGCCCCCGTTGCTTGTCCCAACTTCTGCCAACCTAGCAGTTCGAAAGCATGTAAAAATGCAAGTAGAAAAATAGGGACCACCTTTGGTGGGAAGGTAACAGCTAGCAAGTATGTGCGAGGGGAACCTTTATCTTTAAGTTTGAGGATATAACCTGAATCCTCGCTCATTAATTGGTAATTGCGTTTTCTGTGAAAACATGCTCCGAACATTCCCCATAAATTTTTTCTTAAATTTCCAAGTCATCACAAAAGTGACATGGGAAGTACCTAAATTTTATGAAATAATTTCCTTCCTTTCTTCCTTCTTCCCTCCCTCCCTCCCCCTCCTTTTCTTTTTTCTTTTTTCTTTCTTTTTTTTTTTCTTTCTTCCTTTCTTTTTTCCTGCCTGCCTCTTTCTTTCTTTCTTTCTTTCTTTCTTTCTTTCTTTCTTTCTTTCTTTCTTTCTTTCTTTCTTTCTTTCTTTCTTTCTTTCTTTCTTTCTTTCTTTCTTTCTTCTTCCCTCCCTCCCTCCCTCCCTCCCTGCAACAGCCTTTTTCTACTAATTCTCAACTGCAAATTGGGCAATATGAATTTAATAAATAAATAAAAATAAATAAAACAACCACCGTGCTTAGCAACAGACGTTCTGGCCCCAGTTGGGATCTCAAGTATTGGGACTACCCATACAGACCCAATAATTTCATTAATACCTTTAAAAGGGTCACCTCAGCAGTACTCCACAGCTCTGACTCTCTCCTTGAATGAGATAAATTTTCTTTTATTTATTAAGATAACAGCCCCAGCCCTCTGGATTTTCCCCAGGTTTCTGCCTATCACACAATCACAGGGCCTTTTCTTCTCCCTCCCCTGATGACTCTCAGACATTTTTTTTTCCACTCGGTTAGATCACCAGATGATATCACATTTCGGGGTGAGGGGAAATTTTTCAGCAGTCAGAACAAGACTTCTGAGGGAAACCCCAGGGGTGAAATGTGTGGTGAGCTCTTAAAATGATATTAGTGGAGTGTTTCTGGATTTTGGAAGGAAGAATTATCTGATACACAAGGTGGCCCAGGGCTTTATGGAGATTCTCAACCCTTCAGGTCATGGTTGTCCCAGTGCTTTTTTTTTTTTCAAAGGGCAACTGGAATTTTTTGATTTTTTTCCCCTTGAAAATGTTTCACTTCTAAAGTGAAGAAACTTCTTGAATGAGAAGTGAAATGTTTTCAAAGAAAAAAACCCAAGAAACTCCAGTTGCCTTTTGGAAAAAAAAAAAGCACATTTGGGACAAGGTGATCCACAGGGTCTCTTCTCAGAGGCCAGGGCAAAAGTGAATCATTTCTAGAGGTTTTAGGAGCAACTGAAGACTTCACAAAACCAATTGTAACATCTCCCCAATCCACACAACATCCCTCCATTTGGGCTGAAGCCTGCCTAAGAACAATTATGCTGCATTTTTGAGGTTCCTGGAGGGTTCAGTTTAGGGGGGGGAAAGGGGGGAATTATTCACTTCCACTTTTGACTTTGTCCTCCAGTTTTCTTTGTTCTGCTAGAAGATGTTAAGAGGATAGAGCTGATTGTCCCTAAATCCCAGCCTGAGTTGAGCATCCTCCACTTGGTAGTGGGGAAGTGGATGAAAAGTGGCAGGACATTTTGAGGGCTCTGGTCTCAAGACATTAGACAGGTTTGGAGGAGATTGAATTAGAGTTGTGTTGTATCTGCTTGGTATTTGAGGTGGAAGAATTCAGGAAATCCCAGAACTTGAGGCTCATTCCAGAAAACCATCACAGAAGGAGAATGATGTGGCAGACCATTTCTGCATTCTTGCCAACTCACTCACTAACTCAGAATGTTTGCTGGAATTGGGTATGTCTAGTTCGATGAAAAGAAGGATTAGGGGAGACATGATAGCAGTGTTCCAATATCTCAGGGGCTGCCACAAAGAAGAGGGAGTCAAGCTATTCTCTCCAAAGCACCTGAGGTCAGAACAAGAAGCCATGGGTGGAAACTAATCAAGGAGAGAAGCAACTTAGAACTAAGGAGACATTTCCTGATAGTTAGAACAATTAATCAGTGGAACTACTTGCCTCCAGAAGTTGTGAATGCTCCAACACTGGAAGTTTTTAAGAAGAGATTGGATAATCATTTGTCGGGAATGGTATAGGGTTTCCTGCCTAAGCAGGGAGTTGGAGTAGAACAGTGGTTGCCAACCAGTGGGCTGAGGACCACTGGTGGTCCGCGAGAAATTTTTGGTGGTCCACAGAGAAATGTCACCCCCAAAGCAATTAATCCAGGCTGCGCAGGAACACAAGGCTGCACCGCCCACATGGCTCATGGGAACACAAGGCTTGCATCGCTTGCATTGCAAACAACACGAGGTAGTGAGGGGAGGGGGGAAAGGGCGGAGGGGGCGAACTTGCCCCACTCACCCCAACATGCCTTGCCTGGCCACTGGGCTGCTTCTTTCTGCTTCTTTCTTCTTCTGCTTTTGGCTGCACAGAAGGAAAGCAGCAAAAGTCTTTCTTTCTCTCCCCCAAACTCCGCCAGAAATGAGTCTTTGGGACCCTGCAAGGCATCCTGCTCCAAGAGGCTGCGCAGGCAAAGACTCATTTCTAGTGGAGTTTGTAGGAGAGAAAGAAAGACTTCTGCTGCTTCTGCTGCTTTTCTTGCATGAATCCAAAAGTCTCTCTCTTTCTCTCTCCCACTGAGAACGGAGCTGGAGATGCTTTCCTGCGATCCCAAATAAAGAATGATTGATCGGTAGGAAACCGGGGTGGGGAATTTTCCTGCAGTTTTTTGGGGATTTCCCCAGGGTCTCTGGTTCACGGGAGTTAAAATTATGAGTTTGGGGGTCCCTGAGGTCCAAAAGGTTGGTGACCCCTGGACTAAAAGATCTCCAAGGTCCCTCCAACTCTGTTGTTCTATCTTACTCTCATTCACTCACTCACTTTCACTCACTCACTCACAGATACAGACACTTACACCCCCCCCCCACACACAGACCAGCAGGGTAATTAGGTTAAGGCACCTGGCTGGAAAGCAAAAGACGGTCCCACTTTGACATGAAAACCAGCTGGGTAACCTTAGGCCAGTTCCTCTTTTTCAGTCCAGGGTGTTGGGGAAAACAGCGAGAGGAAGGTGCATTGGATAGGTTTGCCATCTTGAGTTATTTGTAAAAGTAATATAGGCAGGATATGAATGATCTAAATCTAAATAAACAAAGCACAAAAACCATCCAAGTTGAGTTCATCCTGAAGCTGAATTAGTTTCAGTAAAATTTCCCCCAAACCCTTTTTAATATGTAAACTATGGTAACGTGCCTCAAGGCCTCTGAGATATAATATTCACGGAGATGTTCCAGATTAACATGCTGCATGCAGTTAGCTTTTTTTTTTTTTTTTTAACAGTAGAAGACTCTAATTTACTGATCTCTGATCTTTGCAAACAAAAATGGCAAGAGTTTCAAATTATTTACATATACGAAAGCAAAACAAAAAACAAAAAACCCCATCCTAAAGAGATTTTAATTCAATCTGTCTGCATCTCCTGTGGCTTGAGCAGGAAACAAAAGCTTTTCATTCTACCCTGTGCTTCAATTAGTTCACCACTGCAGGAACATCTGGGTCACGAGAAACAAACAATTCTTTGGTGAATGGCTACTATTGTCAAGGCAATTTTCATTTTTTGTTTTTATTTTATTCTATTTCCTGGTTTCTTTACTATCTATAACCCCACATGTATAATTTATATATAGATGTAATTACAACAGCAGTAGTTAATATGCACTTATAACAGGACATAGATTAAAACCACATATTACATGCAATAAATTAGAGAACATCTCTAAAATAAAAGCTCCATCTACTAATTCTATATCTATTTATCTTCTATCTGTCTGTCTGTCTCTGTCTCTGTCTGTCTGTCTCTGTCTGTCTGTCTATCAGTCTCTGTCTGTCTCTGTCTGTCTGTCTGTCTGTTTGTTTGTCTCCCTCTCATCTATCTATCTATCTATCTATCTATCTATCTATCTATCTATCTATC